AGTTCAAGACTAGCCTGGGAAACACAGCAAGACCCCGTCTCTACAAAAAATTTAAAAATTAGCTGAGAGTAGTGGCCGGTGCCTATAGCTCCAGTTACTTGGGAGGCTGAAGTGAGGGGACTGCTTACGCCCAGGTGGTGGAGGCTGTAGTAAGCCATGATGGCACCACTGCACTTCAGCCTGGGTGATAGAGGGAGACTCTGACTCAATAATACAAACACTTGAACCACCATAAACACTCAAAGCTGATTCCTTCTTGCTGGGAGTTAACTGTGAGGGGGTGCTTAATTAAAAATTCAGGGATATACAGTATCTGAGTTTGAATCCTGACACCCACCTCCCCCCCAACCCCATTTACAAGCTGTTTGACTCTGGGCAAGTTACTTCATTTGTAAAACTGCTGTGACGATTATGTAAGAGAATGTACATAAAGTACTCAGTACAGTGCCTGGCACATAGTAAACATTCAATAAACCTTAGCTGCCATTATTATTACTAGTGCATGCAGCTGATTTTATCCAAACTCTGACTCCAACATAGCTTGGAAACCTTGGGCAAATTACTAACCTCTCTGTGTCTCAGTTTCCTCACCTATAAATGGGAATAATATTATCACCTACCTCCTGGGACTGTTGTGAAGATTAAATGTGTTAACACATAGAGAGATGTAGTTAAGTGTTAGCTGTAGTTAAGTATTAGATGTCCCAGGTACTCTAGAAAAGAGCTGAGGGAGCCAGGTGCAGTGGCTCACCCCTGTAATCACAGCACTTTGGGAGGCCAAGGCGGGCAGATCACTTGAGGTCAGGAGTTTGAGACCAGCCTGGTCAACATGGTGACACCCTGTCTCTACTAAAAATATAAAAATTAGCCAGGCTGCAGCCCTAAAAAAGGATGAGTTCATGTCCTTTGCAGGGACATGGATGAAGCTGTAAACCATCATTCTCAGCAAACTAACACAGGAAAAGAAAACCAAATACCGCATGTTCTCACTCATAAGTGGGAGGTGAACAATGAGAACACATGGACACAGGGAGGGGACTATCATATATTGGGGTCTGTTGGGGGTGGGGTGTTAGGGGAGGGATATAGCATTAGGAGAAATACCTAATGTAGATGATGGGTTGATGGGTGCAGCAAACCACCGTGGCATGTGTATACCTATGTAACAAACCTGCACATTCTGCACATGTATCCCAGAACTTAAACTTTTAAAAAAGGAAATATATACCAAAAAAAAAAAAAAAAAAAAAAAAATTAGCCAGGCATGGTGGCGGGCGCCAAAATCCCAGCTAGTCAGGAGGCTGAGGTAGGAGTGTCACTTGACCCCGGGAGGCAGAGGTTGCAGTGAGCTGAGATTGCACCACTGCACTCCAGCCTGGGGGACAGAGCAAGATTCCAACTCAAACAAAAAAGAGCTGAAGGGCCGGGCGCGGTGGCTCAAGCCTGTAATCCCAGCACTTTGGGAGGCCGAGGCGGGTGGATCACAAGGTCGAGAGATCGAGACCAACCTGGTCAACATGGTGAAACCCCGTCTCTACTAAAAATACAAAAAATTAGCTGGGCATGGTGGCACGTGCCTATAATCCCAGCTACTCAGGAGGCTGAGGCAGGAGAATTGCCTGAGCCCAGGAGGCGGAGGTTGCGGTGAGCCGAGATCGCGCCATTGCACTCCAGCCTGGGTAACAAGAGCGAAACTCCGTCTCAAAAAAAAAAAAAAAAAAAAGAGCTGAAGGAAAATACACAGTTGGCCTCTTTATGTAGAACGTGGGTTCCACATACATGGATTCCACCAACCACGGACTGAAAATATTCAAAAGAATACATGTTTGAGATGATGGATATGCTAATTACCCTGATCTGATCACTATACATTACATATACATCCCTATCCACTACCATGAACATGTACAATTATTGTGTCCATTTTTAAAATATTAAAAATAAATCATTTAAAAGTGAAATACATTTGAAACCATTAAAAAAATATATTCGGAAAAAAACTGGATGGTTACATCTGTAATGAACACGTACGAACATCCTTCCTTGTTATTATTCCCTAAACAATACAACCATTTATATAGCATTGACATTTTATTAGTTGTTGTAAATAACCTAGAGATTATTTAAAGTATATAGGAGGACATGTGTAGGTTATATGCAAATTTTACATGTTTTTAATTTTTTTATCTTTTTAATTGTTTTAAGAGAGGTGGGTGTGTGCCTGTCCCAGATAAAATACCACACCATTTTACGTAAGGGACTTGGGTAACTACAGATTTTGGTATTATCCTCAGTCGGGGTCCTGGAACCAATCGCTAACATATACTGTGGGATGACTATAGCTCATTTAGTTCAACATTGTACACAGCAATGTAATTATATTAGCTACTGTAAAATGCAACTTTGGGTAACTGTGTTTCCATGTGTATATATACTTAGCTATCCACGCCTATATAACATTTCTCATTTCTCATATGTAACATATAAATATATGGTTAAACAAACATACAGTCCATGTAGGAAGTGGTTGAAAATTTTTGGCATTTTTTAACAAGTTTGACCCCATATATTCTAATCTACTTATTCCCTAAACATTTAGCATGACTGCTAAGTATTGGCTGCTGTGCTGGATACCAGAAATACAAAGATAAATCAGATAGTCCTCTACCTTTAAAAAGTTAGTGTAGGGGGACAGGGCAAGAAAAAAAAAAAAAAAAAGCTAGTGCAGTGCCATCAGAGCCAAAAAGAAAGACCAGCTACACAAGACCATCTCAAAAACCCTTTACCCAAATGAATCTTCCCAGTCAGGAGTCCACACATTACCTTAGACCATCTGGGAGGCCTTCGTCTGACTTGGAAGCACATAAACTAGAAGATTCCGGAGGACTGGGGGCATTGGCCACAACACCAGCGACCTCAGACGCTGCCATTATGCTCTGTACATTCAGAAACAAATTACAGGCTACAAGTTTCCAAAGTTTAAAATAAATGTTATCTCTCCCCCCTCAGAATGTCCACACAACTGAGTTGTTCCAGTAAAGAAACACAAAAACCCGGGCTCCAGGAGAAAATACTTAAGAGTATTGAAAAGAGACATTGCATGCAAGGTCCCAGTGGGCATAATCCTCAGGAGTCACTGTATGTACGTAATTATCTAGGAGTCTATGCAAAGATCTTATTTTCACTTTTGGCAGAAATGTAGTCATTTAAATCAACAGATTATAGTTTGTGAGGATCTTCCAAGTGGTCCCATGCCTACCTTGTCTGCTATCATTTATAATAAAAGATGTACCTTTTGGCCTAGTATCAATCAGACCTCATGTTTTAAAATCACTTTATGGTTGTTATATTCAAAGCATTCTCCATTAATTTAAGTGAAGTTTTTGGAGGTGCTTGCCAGTAAGTGAACAAGTAATGCCATACTGGGCAATCCAGGGTGCATCTTTACTGTCCCGCAGATGGGAAAGGCCTAATACCCACTAACTGAGCAAAGTACAGACTCTCCAGAGTGACTAGCGGTGCAAAAAAGAAACCTGGGTTCTCTAGCATGAAAATGACAAGCTGAAAAACATGGCAACACAAGTAAGGGAACTGGAATGGATGCCTTTTTTAAAAATCAAAGGTCATCTTTTATGCTGCAGGGCAAACTTAAGACCTTATGAGGAGAAAAGAAAATCAAAATACTTGGGAGGTGGGGGTGAATATAAGGTTAGTTTGCATTCTTGCTTTTATTTTAACAGCATCACAGGTATTCCCCCAGGAACACTGAAGAGGGCACGGGGTAGATACGGAGAAAGGGCTGTGTCAACACCTCAGTCACAGACCGCAGAACCTCTGTGCCTCAGTTTCCCTCATTATACAAAGCTCCTGGGAGAAAATGGGCCCCAAATCGCCATTACTTCTCCCTCAGGTGCAAACATGCCGTCTCCAACAGAGCCCAGGGCCCGGGGTTCTCGGCACCCGGTGAACGAAACCCCAGGACAAGGGTCACGCATGCAACTCCGGGGCTAGAGAGCCCGTGGCTCGGGGAGAAACAGCCGGCTGGAGGGTTGAGTGTGCCAAGAACTCCGCAACCCGGGCGACCACCAGCGAGGCGGCGGCGCCGGAGCCACGGGTCCTCGGACGAAAACAGGGGACAGACGGGAAGGGGACAATGGGGGGAAGCGGCGCTGGGTGGCCTCCGCCACCCTCCACAGGGGACTGCTAGGCTGGCCGCTGGCTCGGAAAAGACCCCCCTCCACCCCTTCCCCTCGGGCCCCCACCCCGCTGGCAGCCCCCCATCCCACTTCTAGGCCGGGACCCCCCGCCTCGGTTCTCACAGCACCCTCCACGCCCCCCACTCGACCCCCGCCCCCGGCCCTCGCCCCGCAGCCCCCTCCCACGCCCGCCCCGCACACACCTCCCGCGCCGCGCCCCCGAGAGAAAAGTGGGGGAGGGACGGGACGCACCTGAGCGGGCGGAGCGGGGGGAGGGGGCGGCCGAGCCACGGGGGGAGGGGTCGAGCGCCGGCCCGCGCACGGCACCTCCCACTTCCGGCGGCACGAGCGGAGGGGGCGAGGCTCCGGCCGCGAGAGGAGAGGCCGCGGTGGCGCCGCACCGCCCCCGACGGCGCCCTCTGGCGGCCAGAGCTGTCGCCGCCGGGGCACTGGGATGCTGCGGGAGACCCCTGAGATACATACAGGTGGACTCTCCCGGGGCGCAGGGAAGAAGGGAAAGCCGACTCCGAGAAAGAAGGAGGCCTGGCGGGGCAGAAGCCCCTCTGGGAAGATTACAGGGACAGTCGGGGCCATGGCGGTCAACGGGAGAAGAGCAACGAGGGGTTTTAAAGGTCGGAACCGAGATGCCCTTTAAAGAGGACGCCATGAAGGAGAAGAACCCTCTGAAGAGGGACCGTGTGGAAGATGCCCCGAGGACTCGGGGAGGCGGGGCCCGCGGGTTCAGCCCCCGCGCCCGCACGGGCCCTGCCCGCGGAGGCCGCCTGCGGGAGCCGGACCCCGGGAGCCGGTTGCTGGGGCCCGCGAGGTCGCCGGGCCGCAGGCGTCGCGCTGATTGGCTGCGCCGCGGGCGGAAGTGATGCTGCTGTCACTGCTCCTCCGGCTCCCGGGAAGCCGCGAGTTTCCGCAGGGAGGCGGCGGCAGCTGCGGCCGGGCCGGTGAGTTAGGAACTAGGTGTGGGCTGGACCTGGGGAGTCGGGGGGGCCCAGAAGTTGGGGGAGCCGGCGTCTGAGGATGAGGGAGCTGCTCAGAGGGTGCCTGAGGTCCTGGCGTGGGGGACCCCAGGGAGATAGGGCCCCAGGGTCCAGGATTCCAGTGTAGTGTGGGTGCTAATGAGGAGGGGGCACATCGCACGGAGCGATCGAAGTCGATGGAGGGAGAATCCGGAAATTGACCCGGTACCCACGCTGGCTTCTGGGAGAGGGGTGCAGAGCAGCGAGGGCAGTCGCTTGGGAGCGGGATCTTAGACTCCGGGCTGCTCATTCTCTTCTTCCTCTTCTTCCGTGTCAACTAAGAGCTGTAAAGAGAGGCCTAGCCATTGGGAGAGGTTGACATCTGCCTTCAGAAGGCATTTAAGGTTCCTTTCCCAGAAGCTTGGGGGATAAAAATGCTGCTCTGCCACTGGGAGAAAGGAGGGGGTCATGCTTCTCTTTCTTCCGGAAATCTGTGGTGGGAATCTACGGAGTCTCAAGGAGCTAGCCTAGAGGGGTCACTGTCTGGCTAACAAGGGCCTTTTGTGTTTGTTTACTTAGTAGACTGTGCAGACTGGGGAAAGACACTTAAATATCTTGGGAGAATTGAGGCTCCTGGGGGCAGGGAGGGATTGAGAGGAAATATACCTGGAAACCTAAAAGGAAAAGAGAGGAAGAAATGTGGAATGAAGATTTTTTTAGAGGGAAATGAGAGGTGGCATAAGTTCTCCTCTCGCTTTCCAGGAAGTCTTTCAGTAAAATTCCCATTTTCCTGGAATGCGTTGAGGTAGAGCCGCTTGGGTTTGTGTCTGAGTATTAAGCCCTGTCCCAGGGTAACTCAGTGGAGAGCAAAGGCTTTTAAAGGAGCCTGGCCACCATAGGTGCACACACGTCCTGCCACCCCATTTGTCTGTCCCTGAGTTTCTAACTTGGTTCTTCTTTTCTTTGAGGGCTCCTAAGACCAATTCCCTGGCTCTGCCACACCTAGGCAATGGGAGTCCCAGTAGGGAGCCCAAGTCCTCACCTTGAAGCCTCCTCCTGAGCTTGGTACAGGGGTAGCTGCTTAGTGAGGTTCTCTCGTCATTCCTTCTCTCCTGGTTGCCCGTTTGCCCTTGGTGCCTGTCCTGTTTTGTTTGCGCTTTCTGCCTTTCTTCCCGTTTCACCTCCGCCTCCTGCCTCCTCTTACTTTCCCTGGTATCTTTCTCAGATATACAAATCAGGAAGTTAGCTACCACCTGGACTTCTAGGACGTTATTACCTACTTTATCAGGAGGCATTTTGGTAAGTTTTTCGCTAAGGCCTCAAGGGAAAAACAGGAAAAGAGGGTGGCATGATAGCACAGGAAGTAGGGTTTCTGGGTGTTATACTCATTTGGCCTCACCGTACCAGTTCTGTGCCAGTCTATGACCTATTTTAGATCTTTGGAAATGACGAGTAATCAAGTTTCTTTGGTCCCTGGTCCTGGAGTTTATCTAACTTCTGCTCATTGCACTGGGATTGGTGGGACATTATTTCTTTGTTCTTGGGTTCCACAGGTCTGTAGCCTTTGCTGAGTCAACACTGCTCACAGAGAGAGTGATGCCTTTTCTCCATTTGCACAACATGAGTGTGACGTGGTTAGCCAGACCAGGAGCTCAACCTCATGTAGAGTCCAGGTGGGCACGGGGCCCTGTTATGGGGTGTTAGCCTTGAGGACAGCTGGACTGAGGAGTCAGCTAGGGAAAGATTTATGTCCCCTCTAAAGGCGAGGATAAAGGGGCTGTCTCTCCTAAAGCAGTCACAATGCAGCCAGTAGTCTGTGGGAGTGATGTGTGCTTTGAGTCCCATGGGTGGCAACAGGGGACAGGTGCAGTGCCTATGAGCAACTGGACCTCCTGCTAGATGAGCTGGGGTGGTGAGGATTGGCTGTCTTGCTGCGGGAGGCCGTCTGCTGGTGTTAGTGCTGGCCCACACTCTACTTGGGGGCTTATCCCAGTTGGTCAGGGATCAGCGTGAACAAACAGAGGGATCAAATGTTGAATAATTTAAAAGACACGGCTTGGGGACTTCCAGGGGGAATGCATGGATGGCTCAGCATCTCCCTCTCAAGATTCCTGTAGTTACCAGCTCTTCAATCTCTTCCACATCCTTTTTCTTTGTCTGCAGTCCACTGCTCTGATGCCGAAGGGGAGGCAGAAAGTGCCACACTTGGATGCCCCCCTGGGCCTGCCCACCTGCCTCTGGCTGGAATTAGCCGGGCTCTTGTTACTGGTTCCCTGGGTCATGGGCCTGGCAGGGACAGGTGGGCCTGATGGCCATGGTTCAGGGGGGCCAAGCTGGGCTGTGCACCTGGAAAGCCTGGAAGGTGAGGGGGAGGAAGAGACTCTGGAGCAGCAGGCGGATGCCTTGGCTCGGACTGCAGGGCTGGTGAATGCTGGACGCATCGGAGAGCTTCAGGGGCACTACCTCTTTGTCCAGCCTGCTGGGCACAGGCCGGCCCTGGAGATGGAGGCCATCCGGCAGCAGGTGGAGGCTGTGTTGGCTGGACACGAAGCTGTGCGCTGGCACTCAGAGCAGAGGCTGCTAAGGCGGGCCAAGCGCAGCGTCCACTTCAATGACCCCAAGTACCCGCAGCAGTGGCACCTGGTGAGTCCAGCCCTGCAGTTCAGTTTCAGGTGGGTGGGTTCCGGCCTGTTCTTTAGTGGGCTGTTGACTGTAGCACTCTTCAGTCGCCTCCGTCCTTTGCCTGAGGGACCATTTCCCATTTCTGTAGTGCTTCTCTTGGCTCTCCCTCCCCTCTACTGTCTTCTAGAGGCCAGTGTTCTGCAGTGCTCAGGGCACAGATGGTGCACCCTGACTGCCTGGGCTCATGGTTCAGCTCCACCACTTTCTAGTATGTGCATTTGGGCAAGCTGCATAAGCTCTGTGCCTCAGCTTCCCCATCTATAAAGTGGAGATGGTAATAGTGCCTACCTCATAGAGTTATGGTTAGGGTAAGTAAACGTGTACATGTGCAGCACTTAGAACAGTGCCCGACACGTGGTAAACACTGTGACATAAGTGACATGATACTAACATTGGCATAAGAAGTGTATCATCCAACCCTGAACCCTAGCCACCATTTTACCTGGAATCACCCATGACTGATGGTGAGCTTTCCTGGACTCCGAGGCTGTGGCAGAGCTCTCACCTGCCCCTCCTTGGCTCTGTTCCCACCTGACTATAGGTCTGCAACCTCTGTCTGGCTCTTTGGTGGAGGCCAAGGGTGAAAAGGAGCTGCCAGCTACAACTTCATCTCCCTCTGGGCTGGGCTGTGTGTCACTGGATCCCCACCCTGTCTCTCTTACAGAATAACCGACGGATCCCAGGCAGGGACATCAATGTGACAGGTGTGTGGGAGCGCAATGTGACTGGGCGAGGGGTGACGGTGGTGGTAGTGGATGACGGAGTGGAACACACCATCCAGGACATTGCACCTAACTATGTGAGTGGCCCTAGAGCGACTCCCCAAACCCCCACATCTTACCTCCTTCTTGATGTTGCCTTAGCCTTGTCCCCTTTTCTAGAGCTGTTTGGGCCAACAAAAGAGCCTGGGAGGTGGGATGGGGTTCATCCTCCTTTTCCCCACCAGCATTCCCGACTGGCAGTCAAGGCAAGGGAGAGCAGTCCTGCTTCCTGTTCTAGTCCCTTTCTAAGGAGTAAGGAATGGCCCCTGTAGGCAGCTTCCTTCTTGACGGAAATCTGAGTGCCTTCCTCTGTCTAAAGCGTGGCCCCTGCTGAGCCCTACCTGCCTTTTATTCCAGGTTTCCCAAGCTGTGAAGCAGTAGGCACAGTCGCATAATAGGCAAGGGAAGTTTGCTGGGAGCTGTGGCACTTCTCAGTTTTGCCCCAGAGTCCTTCGCTCATATCTTTTAGCCAGTGTCGGTTGCAGATGGAAAGGTTTATTGCCCTGTCTTCGAGTCCCAAACCCCCATTTCCTTTCTCTCCCTGAACCCCAGGACCTGACCTCCCAACCAGTGAATGATCACATGTCACTCCCCAAATATTTCAGAGCCCTGAGGGTAGCTATGACCTCAACTCTAATGACCCTGACCCCATGCCTCACCCGGATGTGGAGAATGGCAACCACCATGGCACGCGATGTGCAGGAGAGATCGCGGCTGTGCCCAACAACAGCTTCTGTGCGGTGGGCGTGGCCTACGGGAGCCGCATCGCAGGTAACTTGTGCTTCCAACCTAGCGTTGGTAGGCTGCTCCTGGGACTGCAGTCTTCATTTCCTGCACCCCTCCCTACTCTGAAACGCCTTTATCCCATAGCCCAGCTGACACACGTAGCCTAGAGCAAGGGTAAGCTTATAATAGGTGTCTGTAGGACAAATCAGCTTACGGATTTTTCGGTGCAGTGGTGTTTCAAACGTGTTTTTCTATTTGTATTTCCATAATTTACAAAGTGCCTTTTTGTCAGTTCTTCCTCAGTGATTCGATGATAGGTCTATGGGGGCAACTCTTGCGTGTCCCAGCTCTCCAGCTCCGAGTCCCACTGATGGTCATGGACTGCTCTCCATCTTTTTGGGAAAGCTGAGCAGCTCTATTCCTCCCTGGAGGTGGTTCTGTGATTCCTTCACACTCAACCTCTGTCCATCAGGGGAGACGGTATAGAGAATGAAGGGTGAAGCCCTCACCTTAACTCCTAATAAGTGCTTAGGAATCTACAGACTGAATAGACTAACTGTATTCCTCTTACACTCCAGCAGAGGGCAGTAACCTTCTGTAAATGAGACTACAGAGGGTAGCGGGTAACCTCTCCAAGTCCCTTGTCTGAAAGTGCACTGCAGCCTGGGCGACAGAGCAAGACTCTGTCTCTGTATATATGTATATATTTTTGCTGAGGGGACAAGTAATACATATAAAAATGCAAAATGGGCCGGGCAGGGTGGCTCACACCTGTAATCCCAGCACTTTGGGAGGCCAAGGCGGGCAGATCACCTGAAGTCAGGAGTTTGAGACCAGCCTGGTCAACATGGCGAAACCCAGTCCCTACTAAAAATACAAAAATTAGCCAGGCATGGTGGTGGGCACCCGCAATCCCAGCTACTTGGGAGGCTAAGACAGGAGAATTGCTTGAACCTGGGAGGCCGAGGTTGCAGTGAGCCAAGATCACTCTATCGCACTCCAGCCTAGGTGATAGAATGAGACTCTGTCTCAAAAAAAAAGCAAAATGTACAAAGAGCATGTAGAGAATAAGTCTCCCACATATGGCTCCCCACCTCCCAGTTCCCTGGCTAGGAGACCAGCGTTAGTGAGGAGCTGCTCTGGCCTTCATTGCCTAGGTATCCGGGTACTGGATGGACCTCTCACAGACAGCATGGAGGCAGTGGCGTTCAACAAGCACTATCAGATCAATGACATCTACAGCTGCAGGTGAGAGGGTAAGAGGTTGGAGCATCTGGGACAAATCTGCCAACAAAAGCCCAACCAAGGGGGCTGACTCAGGCAGGCCAGAGCAGGGGTCTCTTCATTGGATTCAGCTAATGAGTCCATTGCCTTCATTTCTCTAGATCCCGAGTCACTGGGTTCTCAACCTTAAGCCCTGTCACCCCTATAATCAGGTTCCCACATGAGAAGCTCTGTTCTGTGCACATTTATTTGTTTTCTAAGCTCTAAGGCAGGCGTTTCCAAACTACAGCCCGTGGGCCGCATGCAGTCCCCTGAGGCCATTTATCCGGCCCCCTGCCGCACTTCAGGAAGGGGCACCTCTTTCATTGGTGGTCAGTGAGAGGAGCACAGTATGTGGCGGCCCTCCGACAGTCTGAGGGACAGTGAACTGGCCCCCTGTGTAAAAAGTTTGGGGACGCCTGCTCTAAGGCCTCTTCAAGAAAGTGGGCTTTCCTCTCCAACCACAGGCCAGCTGAATGCCCAACACCAATCCTCCACCCTACTTTAATGTACTGCAGCTTCAGGGCATGGCTGTGCTGGGCTGGACAAGAAGGAAATGGGGTTGGGAGCCCCCATGGCATTGATGGCACCTGTTCCCCAACATACCTCCCTTAAATCTATGACATCACCAGGTACACTTCCTGATAGAGACAGAATAGAGAACTCCTCAGCCTGAAAACCAAGAACTTCCACTGAAGTTCCTGTGTGCTCTGCCTTCAAGCCTATGAGTCGGGCCAGGTGCTATGGCTCACACCTGTAATCCCAGCCCTTTAGGAGGCTGAGGCTGGTGGATTGCTTGAGGTCAGGAGTTCAAGACCAGCCTAACCAACATGGTGAAACCCCACCTCTACTAAAAATACAAAAATTAGCTGGGCATGGTGGCAGGCACATGTAATCCAAGCTACTTGGGAGGTTGAGGCAGGAGAATCACTTGAACCCGGGAGGCGGAGGTTGCAGTGAGCCTAGATCATGCCACTGCACTCTAGCCTAAGTGACAGAGTGAGACTGTCTCAAAAAAAAAAAAAAAAAAAAAAAAAAAAAAAAGCCTACAAGTCTCTGATCCCTAGGTCAGGAGATGAGTGACCCCTGTCCCTCTCTGCCACTATGGGCTATGGGAACATTGACAAGGAAAAGAAGAGCCTTAGAACACTTCTGTTTTCTACTTTGGAGAGGGGATGGACCTTTGAACCCTGTGCCTTTTAATCATTGGAGCCTTTAAGTGGAACCCTTGGGAAGAGTTAAGAGCTACAGGTCCAAGGGTAGCCAGCTAAGACTGGGAGGCCTTGGGTGGGTAGCCACAGCCTGGCTTGGCTGTTCCCTCTAGGTATTTATTTCTCAACAGCTGGGGACCAGATGATGATGGGAAGACAGTGGATGGCCCCCATCAGCTTGGAAAGGTAACCGGCCTGCACAAGGACTCTAGGAGACGGGGCGCCCTCTTCATTCAGTCCTGGAGGAACTGCTGCAAGTTGACCTGTCTTCCCACTCCACCCCCATGTGCAGTCTCCTTTCAGGAAGAGTACACCTAACGTCGGGGCAGGAAGCATGGGGGACATTGGTTCCTAGAGAGGGAAATGGAACCGTGCTTTGAGATCGTTTCCCTTTCATCTTGTCCTCAGCTCCCCTGCCTGGCCCCACCCTGTCCAATAAGCAGTGCATCCATCTGTCATCGTTCAACTCACAGCTCCCCCACATCCTGGGTCCATCTTCCAGTCTTTCCCCCCTGCCCAGTAACCTTTGAACTTTTTTCCTTCTGTTTTTAGAAGGGATGGAGAGGGTGACTGATGTGGTAGGCAGAGGTCTGTCTATGGGTTCCTCAACTGATACCCTGATGTTTTGGCTCCTCAGGCTGCCTTGCAACATGGGGTGATTGCTGGACGCCAGGGTTTTGGGAGTATCTTTGTGGTAGCCAGTGGCAATGGGGGCCAACACAACGACAACTGCAACTACGATGGCTACGCCAACTCTATCTACACAGTCACCATAGGTAGTCACCGGACGGTTCCACGCTCGCACATTTTTGTGTATATGTGTGTGTATGTCACCGAATGGTGAGGGCGTCGCGGGTCTTGTCCCAGCTTCTGTGTGTCTAAATGTGTGAGCACAGTCATCTCTTTGGGCTCAGATAGGACTAGCCCCTGCTTGCAAAGGACCTTGGGACTTCCTTAGATGTCAACATACCCTGGGAACACCTTCAGACCGTCATCCGGGGATCACCCAGCTGCCTCCACCCCACCACAGCTGGTTAGGCTTCTGCTCTGGCCTCTTTCTGTGGGCCAGCTGCCACCTGTTAGAAGCCTCCCCTGACTCTCCACTGTCCTAAATTAAGTGCCCTTTGCCTGTGCTCCCACTTAGCACTTGCCACCCCAACTTCATCTATTTACTTATCTGACTATAGGCTCCTTGAGGGCAGGACTGTGTGTGGCCTTTTCCATATGACCCTGATGCCTGCACAGTGTGTGACCCACAGTAGATAGGAAGTGAATGTTGAAAAAAGTGAGCTTGTGAATGAATAAGTGGGTATGAAGGTAGAAGGCTGCCCGTTGTACCCCGGAGCCTATTGAAAGAATGGTATTGGAGCACAGAATGCCTTCTGCCACTTGAGAGTGCCTGTTCAGAAGACAATCCACTTGGGCCACTCAGATCATGTTTCAAACTCAGGACAGCCCCACAGGATGATAACTGCAAGATAACTGACATTAGCAAGCCCCTGCCACAGGACCCCCTCTTCCTCTCAGCTCTCATTTCCCTCCTCTGTCCCCAGGAGCTGTGGATGAGGAGGGACACATGCCTTTCTATGCAGAAGAATGTGCCTCCATGCTGGCAGTCACCTTCAGTGGTGGGGACAAGATGCTTCGGAGCATTGTGAGTGCTTCCTGGGCCCTCCATGCCCTGCCTCTTTCCCACAAGACTCCACGTCTTGGGCATCACAGCACTTCTCACCATTCCCTGCTTCCCTGTCCCAACACTCAGGCTCCTCTTCCCCCACAGAGCTGGATCTCTTCAGCCATGCCACCCTCGGAGGAGCAGACCCAGGGACTCTGAATGAATCTTGGGAATACTTTTATCTTAGAAATTTGAACTTAGGACAAATATATATATTGTTATAGAAACTAAGTGTCACATGGGGCCAGACACAGTGGCTCAGTCCCGTAATCCCAGCACTTTGGAAGGCCAAGGCAGATAGATCACTTGAAGTCAGGAGTTCAAGACCAGCCTAGTCAACATGGTGAAATCCCATCTCTACTAAAAATACAAAAGTTAGCCTGGTGTGGTGGCGGGCACCTGTTATCCCAGCTACTCGGGAGGCTGAGGCAGGAGAATTGTTTGAAACTGGGAGGCAGAGGTTACAGTGAGCCAAGATTGTGCCACTGCGCTCCAGCCTGAGCTACAGAACAAGACTCCTCAAAAAAAAAAAAAAAAAGAAAGAAAGCAACTAAGTATCACATGTATTAAACAACTTTCTCACACTCAAGGAAATGCACAGACAACTTCTTTGAAATGTCTTCCTTTGGTAAAATTTGGACTTTTGCTAATTTCTGTGGCCTTACAAAACCTCATCATTCCATTGCCCTTCAGGTCTTAGGTAGATACTGTGGGTTCTGGTCATGTGCATCCTCAGGAGTAAAGCTAGTCTGGTGGTGGTTTTTATGGCATGGGTGGGAAGAGGAGTTAGGGAATGTGTCATGTCAACACCAGAGAGAGCTCTTTCTCTGGAGCTATAATTGGAGCCATAGCAAATGAGAGTGGAGCAGGGCTGCAGAGCTTCTCTAACCTGTAGAACCCATTTAAAGAATTTGAGGCAATTGCCTACACCCAGCTGGGCTTAGTGCCATCCCAGTAGATTTAAGCCAGGCCTCCAGACCATCATCCTAGAGCTCCCTGCCTGTCCCTGTTGCCCATAGCCATGTAATGTGGGCATGGGAGGCTCTAGGCTGGAGCTGGGCTGGAGCCAAGTGGTGTCAGATTTCTACAGTGGCTGAGTCGAGAGCTCTCTCTGGGGCCGTTGGGAATTAGGCTGCTTTGTCTTCCTGCTGGGTCAAATTTATTTTCCAAAACTGAAATTTTGTTATGCCAATAAATGACTTCTGGTCAACACAATGTTCCAAGGCTCTGTGCCAGTTGACCCCTACTACCCCCTTCCCCCAGACCCAGAGAGGAGAAAAGGGAGTGGATAAAGTAGACAGGCAAGAGAGGCTGGGCTTTGTGCACAGAGGGCACCCACTGCAGGCCAGGCTAGGTTAGGAAGAACAGGAGCATACTACATTTTACCCTCTAGCAGAACTCTAGGGACCCCAGCTCACCTTGCCCAGGCTAGGGACCTAAGAAGGTTCTACAACATAATTTCTCTTCTTAACTCACCTCATCTTCTCCCCCTCACCACCTTCTTCCATATGAACTGTAATTTGCCCAGAAATGAAAAGAGAGTGTGTTTAGCAGAGTTCCCATCTTTGGAATGTCTTTGCCATGGAAACTTCCTGTTGCCAGTTTCTAGTCAATGACCAGGGCAGCTGGGTGGAGCTGTCTTTCTGAGGGCAGAGGCTGGGGGCATACGCTTCCCACCATTTGGCTCCCTGGGGAAATGAAGCTTCTCTGGACTTTTCAATGTCTGCCTGCAGCTCCTGCCACTACAGGCAAGTTCATGGGCTTCACAGCTGCACTTCAGACTAGCACTGCGAGGCTGTTTCCTTAACAGGAAAAAAATCAATCCTCTCCCTTGCGTAAACCAGGCTTCCCACTCTTCATTGAGTCTACCACTTGGAGAGTGTTTTTGCCTTTTTTTCTGGGACTGCACCATGTCTGGGTGAAAATTACATCTCCTGGCAGCTGCTATAACAGCTGGGAGGGAAGCAGTGAGTACAGTGGAGAAAGGGCAGCTCTTGGCAGAAGTCGGCAGCCTGGTATCTGACCCAGATGAGAAGTTTGGAAGAAAGAAATTTTCTGGTCTTAGCATTGATACCGTGGGCCAACGATCCAAGTGCCATAGAGTGGAGCAGATTTAGGCAGCGCCCTCCTCAGCTAAACCCTCAGGCTCCAAGGTTGACAAGAGCCCAAAAAGAGCTTGATGCTAGGCAGACATTGCCTCCCCCTGCCCCGTTCTGACCCCCAACCTCAGAGCCACATGGCGAGAAGGGGGTTCAGGGCACCCAGCCCAGAGCAGTGAGGAAGCTTGTCCTGTTAAGAGCTGTAGAGCTGGGCAGGCAGGCCTTACAGACACTGAGTCCATGCAGGGCTCGAGGGTAGGCAAGGACACAGTCCTCTCTTGCTGGGAACACACTCCCTGTGTTTGCCCCGACATCATTCCAGCCCCTGTCACGGAGCTGCCAAATTGGATTTCCTTGAATGGTGCCATCACTGTTGTCCCAGCTCCAACTGGGCCCAGTAGCTCCTGTGGCCACTTCCTCTGTCTAGCTTGGCTGTGAGGATTGAAGAGTTTGGAGTTGGGGGTTGGGGTAGAGAATTTAGGGATGGTAGCAAGAATATTAGGAGTAAAAATCAGTAGGCCCCCCCATGGTGGCTCATGCCTGTCATCCCAGTACTTTGGGAGGCCAAGGCAGGAAGATCGCTTGAGGACAAGAGTTCAAGAATAGCCTGGCAACATAGCAAGATGCTGTCTCTATGAAAAATAAAAATATTAGTGGGGTGCAGCGGTACACACCCATAGTCCCAGCTACATGGGAAACTGAAGCAGGAGGAACACTGGAACCCAGGAGTTCGAGGCTGCAGTGAGCTATGATCTTACCACTGCACTCTAGCCTGGGTGACAAAGGGAGACCCTATCTCAAGAAAAAAGAAAAAAAGTTGGGAAACCCTTATCTGCACTGGATGGGAGCCCTTTCCCATCTCTAACTCCTTTTCCCAACAGCCATAGCCCTCAGAAGTACTTTTATTCTTGTCTCTGTTCTCCAGACATTCTGCTAGGAGGCCAGGAGGATTAGGATTTCCTTTGCCTTGCCCTGCTAGTGGGTCCCTCTCTGATCAAAGATTCAGCTCTAAAGGAAGGATCCACCTGAGAGACTTGTTCTGACGACCATCCCTGTGCCTTTCCCCCGTAACAACTTTGAACTCAGTCTCGTTTCTTTTAAAAAATATTATTATTATTTGAGACAGAGTCTCACTCTGTCTCCAGGCTGGAGTACAGTGGCTCGATCTCAGCTCATTGTAACCTCCCACTCTCTGGTTCAAGTGATTCTCCTGCCTCAGCCTCCTAAGTAGCTGGGATTACAGGCATGCACAACCATGCCCAGCTAATTTTTGTATTTTTAATAGAGACGGGGTTTCACAATGCTGGCCAGGATGGTCTCGATCTCCTGACCTCATGACTGCCCGCCTCAGCCTCCCAAAGTGCTGGAATTATAGGTGTGAGCTATTTTTTATTTTTTAAAGATGGGTTCTCTGTCACTTAGGCTGGAGTGCAGTGACACAGTCATAGCTCACTGTAACCTTGAACTCCCGTGCTTAAGCAATCCTCCTCCCTGAGCCTCCCAAGTGGCTGGGACTATAGGTGCTCACCACTGTTCCCAGCTTGAAGTCGTTTCTTTTTTTTTTTTTTTTTTTTTTTTTGAGACGGAGTTTCGCTCTGGTTACCCAGGCTGGAGTGCAATGGTGCGATCTCGGCTCACCGCAACTTCCGCCTCCTGGGTTCAGGCAATTCTCCTGCCTCAGCCTCCTGAGTAGCTGGGATTAGAGGCACGCGCCACCATGTCCAGCTAATGTTTTGTATTTTTAGTAGAGACGGGGTTTCACCGTGTTGACCAGGATGGTCTCGATCTCCTGACCTCATGATCCACCCGCCTCAGCCTCCCAAAGTGCTGGGATTACAGGCTTGAGCCACCGCGCCCGGCTGAAGTCGTTTCTAAACCACTTCCTTCTCCCATTCCACTTCCAGGTGACAACTGACTGGGACCTTCAGAAGGGCACTGGCTGCACTGAGGGCCACACAGGGACCTCAGCTGCAGCACCTCTGGCAGCTGGCATGATAGCCTTAATGCTGCAGGTGCGGCCCTGCCTCACGTGGCGTGATGTCCAGCATATCATTGTCTTCACAGCCATCCAGGTGAGATACCAGCAAGTGCCCTGGCCCAGCCTGCTCCAGAGTTCGGGTATCAGGTGGCTTTAAAGTCTCAGTGTCCCAAATGTTAGATACCAAGTCTCTTTCAGAGTCCCTTTCAGAGTTGCATATGTAAAGAGTAGGTGTGGGGACTCTATAAAGACCACAGACCTAAACTCATTTAATCTGCAAAGGATAGATAGCTCTGGCTGTGCCTCGTGACTCCCTCTCAAGAAGCAAGCCACTGGGGTGGTGACATCATGGGCTTTGACCTTTTGTCCCAGCTTCCCTTGGGGGATCCATTCCCAGTAGCCACAGTAGGAGAGCATGGACTGGATCAGCCAGCAGAGCAAGCAGGGAAACCAGAGTTAGGTCGTTGAGACTACACTGGCAATGCAAGAGACTAACCAGGACCTCTGTCCTTTCAGTACGAGGATCACCGTGCAGAGTGGGTCACCAACGAGGCAGGCTTCAGCCATAGCCACCAGCACGGTTTCGGACTGCTCAACGCTTGGAGGCTTGTGAATGCAGCCAAGGTGAACAGGTGTTAGCAGGGCAGGGTACCCTGTGTGGAGTGACCCAGGGACGGGGCTGAATGCCTAAAATGTTGTCTGGGGATATCATAGGTGCCTCGTAAATGTTCATTCAGTTCATTTATTTAACCACTTCAACCTTCATCCCAGCTTATATCCATTTTACAAATGAGAAAGCAGGCTCAATGCTGTCACTGAAGTTTCCAAACTACTAATAGAGTAAATGAGACCTGAGTATGTGTGTGACTCAGGATGCTCTGGTTCCCCTCCTCCACCCTGGACACAGCCGTTTCTTCTGGTTCCTCAACCAGGGGCTGTAAGGAACATTCCAGCAAGCAAGCAGGAGCCTAGGGCTGAAAGAAGGTGATAAGGAGTGGAAAAATAAAGTCAGCTAACCCTTCAAGATCATATTGACAAGGGTGTGTGTGAGAATGTGGGTGTGATCACTCTTGTTTGTTGATTTTTCGTCCCCTCCTTTCATATCATAGATCTGGACATCTGTCCCTTACTTAGCATCCTACGTCAGTCCTGTGTTAAAAGAGAACAAGGCAATTCCACAGTCCCCCCGTTCCCTGGAGGTCCTGTGGAATGGTAAGTAATCAGCACAAAGGGGGTTAATCTTAGTCCTGAGGTTTGGGGCGGGGTGACAGGGAAGTTAAACTCATCCTCCCTGCCAGATTCTACCCCCGTTCGGAGCTGAGCTCCAGCCAAACCTGTGGAGTTTTCTTTGACCATTTTAGGACATGTTACTGCTTCTGAGTTGGCTGCCCCGGCTGCTTAAACAAGACCTTTCTCCTGGGTTCCTAGGAGTGAAGAGGAGCAGAGAGCAACTGAGGAGGAAGGCGGGTGGGAGGCGTGGGACTGGGGCTTGAGGAGGTGAGGTGGGAGCAGGCGAGAGCTCAGAGAAGCTCTGATGACTTCCAAGCTAAGATCTTGCCAGAGAACTCTGGTCAGCCCTTTGGTGTCTGGATGAAGTAAAGGAGTTAGACATTTCTTCTTTTGAGCCTCAGGTATATCTAATAAGAGTCAGATGCTGTCTGCTAGAGTGGACAGAGGATTTGTAGAAGTCTCCTGGGCTTCAGTGACCCGTTCTCTTCTCCCACCTCCATGGTGCCCAGCATGAACCAGGATTGTCTGAAGAGGGTGTGTCCTCCAAGCCAGCGACCTGGTTTTATGCTGAGCACAGAGGTGAACACCCTTCCCAGAGGAGAGTACAGCTGAATCAGGATGCTTATGCTAGAGGATGCCCTACACATTTACAGCGTTTTTCCTACCCTCAGCTCCTTGGGGGATTCTTTTTCCTTGAGTCATTTTGACATGCAGAGTTATTCACTACTTTTTGCAAATGCTTAGTGCCCAAACCAGAACTGTGTTCATTTTTTTTGTCCTCCTAGAAAGTGATCAATCCAGAGCGATGGCAGGAGAAGGAATGGCAAGAGAAGGTTGCTTAGAAGGGAGGATGGTGGGCAGCTTCCCTCGGGTGGAGGTTTCACTGAGAAGAGTTGAGTTGTCTCTCTCCTAACCACGTCCAGCATTTGCCCAAATTTCCCTCAATGTGGAATGAAACGCCTGGGCCAGTCATTGCATTTCCCGTAAAAGGAATGTTATCTTGGAAAGGGCATAAAGCATTAGCCAAGTCAGAGAAGTTTAGAAACGTTTCCAGGAATGCAGTTCATTTGGAACCCCCTGGCTTTGCACTTGCATGTCTTAGAGATAGTGTGCCTTCAACTTTACCTTCCATCCAGGGCTATTTCCTGTTGCGTCTGTCACATGAGGGCATTGACTTAAAAGAAAATAGTGTTCTCCCCAGCTCCGTCATCTTCTGCTTCCTGCTGACCAGGGCACATTGCTGGAGAATGTCTACCCTAGGCATTGAGGCATCTGGCAACTGCTTGCTTGTCACTGAAAAGTAAGAGAGAGAAAGATAAATTGTCTGGGTGGAGAAGAGTGGAGGTGGTCTAGTGGAGAAAGCAGGATTGAGAGAAGGGAGGGAAAGATTCAGGAAAGTTGGCTAATGGAGCCCTTTACCTGTTGGAAGGGCACCAAACAAAAGTTTTACCAGAGTTTTTCCTACCCCCGGCTCCTTGGGGGATTTTTTTTTTTTTCCCTGAGTAATTTTGACTTGCAGAGTTATTCACTACTTTTTGCAAAGTTCTGCTTTGTTGGCTTTTCAGAGCCAGTGAAGTTGTTCTCTCCCAACATTTTCCTCTGAGCAGACAAAACAGAAGGGATAAGCTTGGGGGCTTGCTTGGAGATTGAAGGAAGTCAGTCCAGTTAAAATGAGAGTTGAGCTGGGTGCTATCGCTCATGCCTGTAATCTCAATAATTTGGGAGACTGAGGTGGGTAGATCACCTGAGGTCAGGAGTTCAAGATCAGTCTGACCAGCATGATGAAACCCCGTCTCTACTAAGAATACAAAATTGGGCCAGGCACGGTGGCTCACGCCTGTAATCCCAGCACTTTGGGAGGCCAAGGCGGGTGGATTACGTGAGGTCAGGAGTTTGAGACCAGCCTGGCTAACAGGGCGAAACCCCATCTCTACTAAAAATACAAAAATTAGCTGGGCATGGTGGTGGGTCCCTGTAATCCCAGCTACTTGGGAGGCTGAGGCAGGGAGAATCACTTGAACCCAGGAGGTTGAGGCTGCAGTGAGCCACGATCGCACCACTGCTCTCCAGCCTGGGTGACAGAGCAAGATTCTGTCTCAAAAAAAAAAAAAAAAGAGCAAGACAGATTTTTATTTCTTCCCACTGATAGGAGGTTATGAGGGAGAGGGAATCTTAAAAAAAGGGGTTTTTTAGATCTGACGCTGGTCTGAAATCTCTGCCTGAGGTTAGGAGGGAGAGTGAGGCTCTGGAGGAGTGTATTTTCCACGAGAGAGTCTGTGGTTAGAAGGTTCCTGATCACCCACTTGCACCTCTCCTTTGTTGTTTACAGTCTTGAGGACACTGGCTAAGCCTTTGCCTATGCAGTGAGCCCTGTTCCTTCCCCTCTCCAGGTCTTCCCTCTAACCCAACATTTCCCTCTCTGCTGATTCTTCCTTTCTGCCTCCAAATGCAAGTCCCTGCCACCTCCACCCAGGAAACTTTGCAAATGAATGAACTGAAGCAATTTCTCACCTTTGTCACAGGCTCCCTCTGCCACTGAAGACTTGCTTTCTTACTCACAGTGCCCCTTTCCTTACCGATTCAGGGGCTGGTTCAGAGTTCATCCTTTTTAACCTTCTTGTTGCTCTGACCCTATTAATGGGGCATTCGTTGCAACCTCTGTCCTCCTCTAGCTTCTGTGACCTCCGTTGCTCCATAGTCCTCCTCTGCCCTCCCTGCCTGAGGTACTTGCTTCATACTCCTGAACTGTGAGTGTCTTCTAAGGCTTGTTTCCTGACATTTTCCTCACTCCACATCTTCTTCCTCAACCATGCAGCTATGTTTATGACCTTAGCTACCACCTCTCTACAAATGAATCTTTGACCTAAATCTCTTATTCTGATCCTCTACCAGTGGAAAGGATTGAGAGTAGAGCATAGCTTCCATAAGATTATGGGCAAATAGAGTCCTGGCATCTTCTGGGACAGCGAGTGACTATTGAAAAACATCCCAATCTACCAAAGGCCAAATAATAAGATACTTTGTATGTGCCAAGCACTGTTCTAAGTATTAGTTCATTTAATTCTGGTAGCATGAGCTCTAATGTAGTCATTCACACTGCCACCCAAGTCCCCATCCACACCAAGAAGTAAATGGATGTAGCATCCCACTGTGTACACCGCGAATGCAGACAGGCACTGCTTTTGGGATTCTTTTCATTTTTGGATTCTGTTCTGTTCCGTAACATGTCATTTCTCTCCTGTAAGGCCCTTCTCTGCCACGTCAATACTCTTCTCCACTATGCCTTAAATATTTTCCATCATCTTTCTATTCCTAAGCCATTGTGTGCTGTTGATATTCCATCAGTACATTACACTCAACATGTACAGAATTTTCTATCTCACTATCACCTCTCAAAAGCTGGCTTGCTTTCTAAGATTTTCCCATTTACGTCAGTGCCATCACTATTCCCTAGGACCCAAACTTGAAACTCAGGAGTTGTCCATCCCTCTATATCCCTGGCCTCTCCCCAGGGCTAGTGATGGCCTGGCCTTCCCTTATCCAAGCAAGAGTTAGCAAGTTTTTTCTCCAGAGCCAGGGGCCCCCGGTGTAGCACAAAGTGGGAGGCAAAGACTCTGCCTAGAAGACCCTTCCGCCCAAGCCAGTGACTTACCTCTCGAGGCACAGGCAGCCAGATGAGAGGAGTCCTCTCTGGAGAAATGGAATGGCTCCTCATGAAAAGATTTAGAGACAGTGATATGTGGGGCTCCTCCAGTGAAACGGCCAGATCCTAGTCCACTTAACTTTAGGGAACCCTGCCAGGTGAAAGGCTTCTCCTACAATTCAGCTTCCAACTAGCTTTTGAAGATAATAGGCATCACTTGCCATTAGGAAAAAAAATCCTCTGAATGCCTCCAGAATTCTGAGGAAAATTATCTTCAATCAATAAAACTATACCCCACCTAACTAATAATCACATGGGAAGGTAGACTAAGGATATTTTCAGACAGAGGCTCTTGTGCATGCTCTACTTGTCTGAAAACTACTAGAAGATGTACTCCTCTACAGTGAAGGCTAAACCAAGAGAAGAAAAGGAAAGAAAGCAAGGGAAGAAAGGGAGAGAAGAAGGGAGGGGAGAAGAGGAAGAGGAAATGAAAGCCTGGGAGAAGGGTAACGAAGGGTCCTAGCCCAACAGCAATGCAGCGGGTAGGGATAGGGCAGAGGCTCCAGAGAGAATCTCCAGGGGCAGATGGCATTGAGGGAGCCCCTGACCTATTTTTTCATTTAAAAAGTAGTATTCAGAGAAGTTATATGGTTCTTTTGTGAAGTTTGGAAAGAATTAGTGATAGGGACATGAATTTAGGTAAACCAAAAAACAGGGCAATTATTAACTCCAGAAGGAAAAACAACTCATTGTTCAGGAAACTAAACATGATCGTTGTACACACTTGGCTAAGTTAAATCTAATATTTATAAGGTCATTGTAAGGTAAACTAAATATTGATCTAACTAAAAATTGTGATGTAGGCCAGGCACAGTGGGTCATGTCTGTAATCCCATCACTTTGGGTGACTGAGGCAGGCCAGCCTCACTTGAGGTGAGGTCAGGAGTTCGAGACTAGCCTGGCCAACATGGTAAAACATTGTCTCCACTGAAAATACAAAAGTTAGTTGGATGTGGTGGTACATGCCGGAAATCTCAGTTACTTGGGAGGCTGAGGCAGGAGAATCTCTTGAACTCAGGAGGCTGAGGTTGCAGTGAGCTGAGATCGTGCCACTGCACTCCAGCCTGGCGACAAAGCAAGGCTCTGTCTAAAAAAACAAAAACAAAAACTGTGATTATTTTGTGAATATCGTGGGGAAGATAACTGGGGAGAAGGCATGGACATGGGCATGATTTGTTCAGTTCTCATCTGCCATAATAAAAAGTCAATATGTAATGTCTCAAATGGATAAGCCATGAAATATCCATACACACTTATGTTTGCTTCTGGGGAATAGATAGCAAAAGTGGTAAGGAATGGGATAGGGAATTGTGTTTTGTTATAAGCACTCTAGTGCCAACTTATAAGCACCTGTAGCTGGGACCACAGGTGTTCACTACTATACCCAGCTAATTTTTTTATTTTTTGTAGAGGCAAGGTCTCCCAGGCTGAAGCAGTCCTCCTGCCTCAGCCTACCAAAGTGCTGGGATCATAGGAGTAAGCCACCATGCCTGGCCTGGAATAAATTAATGGAACAAAGTGTGCTTTAAAAAGAATTGTTCTCAATGCAACCTAATTTCTGTTTTGTTTTGTTTTGTTTTTTGAAACACAGTCTCACTCTGTCCCCCAGGCTGGAGTCCGTGGCCCAATCTCGGCTCACTACAACCTCTGCCTCCTGGGTTCAAGTGAGTCTTCTGCCTTAGCCTCCCAAATAGCTGGGGCTACAGGCGTGCACTACGATATGCAGCTGATTTTTTTTTTTTTTTTTTTTTGAGACGGAGTTTCGCTCTTGTTACCCAGGCTGGAGTGCAATGGCGCGATCTCGGCTCACCGCAACCTCCGCCTCCTGGGTTCAGGCAATTCTCCTGCCTCAGCCTCCTGAGTAGCTGGGATTACAGGCACGCGCCACCATGCCCAGCTAATTTTTGTATTTTTAGTAGAGACGGGGTTTCACCATGTTGACCAGGATGGTCTCGATCTCTTGACCTCGTGATCCACCCGCCTCGGCCTCCCAAAGTGCTGGGATTACAGGCTTGAGCCACCGCGCCCGGCCGTGATTTTTGTATTTTTAGTAGAGACAGGGTTTTCACCATATTGGCCAGGCTGGTCTCGAACTCCTGACCTCATGATCCGCCCTCCTCGGCCTCCCAAAGTGCTGGGATTACAGGCGTGAGCCACCTGGCCCGGCAACCTATTTCTTAATAGTCCCCAGTGACTCTTCCACTTCAGTGGTTTTTGTTTGTTTGTTTGTTTTAGTAATTGTAGATTTTACAGGAGTTTGCAAAGAAATGTACAAGAGAAGTCCTATGCACCCTTCTCCCAATCTTAATGTTTCACACAATTATAGTATAATATCAAAACCAATTGATGAAATTGATGTTGGTACAATCCATAGAACTTATTCAGAGTTCACCAGATATACATGCTTTCAATGTGTGTGTGTGTGTGTGTGTGTGTGTGTGTGTGTGTGTGTGTCTATGCAATTTTATCACATGTAGCCTTGCATAACTACCACCACAACCAAAATCTGGAACTGTTCCATTATCACAAGACTCCTTTGTCTTACCTCATTCTGGCCACACCCATCCCCTTCCCTGGCCCTGGCCCCTGGCGCCCATTTATCTATAATCTATCTCTACAAGTGTGTTATTTCAACAAACATCGGATAAATGGAATTGTGTGCTACGCTTCCTTTTTCTTTTCTTTTCTTTTTTTTTCTTTGAGACAAAAGTCTTGTTCTGTCACCCAGGCTGCAGTGCAGTGGCATGAGCATGGCTCACTGCAACCTCCACCTCCCAGCCTCAAGCATCCTCCTACCCACCCTCCCAGGATGCTGGGACCACAGCTGCACGCCACCACGCCTGGCTATATGCTTCTTTTGAAATTGGTGGGGTTTTTTTTTTTTTTTTTGTTTTTTTTTGAGACGGAGTTTCACTCTTGTTACCCAGGCTGGAGTGCAATGGCACGATCTCGGCTCACCGCAACTTCCGCCTCCTGGGTTCAGGCAATTCTCCTGCCTCAGCCTCCTGAGTAGCTGGGATTACAGGCACGCGCCACCATGCCCAGCTAATGTTTTGTATTTTTAGTAGAGACGGGGTTTCACCATGTTGACCAGGATGGTCTCGATCTCTCGACCTCGTGATTCACCCACCTCAGCCTCCCAAAGTGCTGGGATTACAGGCTTGAGCCACCGCGCCCGGCAAGATTGTTTTTTTCACTCACATAATTTCCTTGAAGTTTATCCACCAGCATTTTAAAAAAAATTAAGTGTGTATTATTTTGAGTGAGATCTGTGCATTTTCACTCATCTTTGTTCATGCCGTTTCCACTGCCTAGAATGCCCTCTACTAACCCTCTCTGCCGATCTGTATTCATTTCCTTCACTGTGTCTCACTGCTGTGTGCCTAAACCCGTCTGACTTATTTCTCTTCCCTTATCAATTATGTGTATTTCTCATACCATATCATTTTCCACTTGCAGGTAGAAGACAGGGACCCTGCCCATCTTATCTTTATATTCCCAGCATCTAGTACAATGCCTGAAATGTGGGAGGTATCCAGTAAATAATTTTTTGGATGAATAAATGATTAAAGTTGCTCTACTGGGTTCTTATATTGTATCTTGGGTATGTGTTGTCTTCCCAATTAGACTCTAAGCTAGATTGTGAATTTGAAAGCAGCAACTCCATTCCATTTACTAGTTTAGGAGAGGTCCCAGTTAGGGTTGCCGTAGATGTTTGTTTGTGGCTTCAGTGAGCGTGTGTCTTTGTGTACGTGGGGGTGAAGTGAGGGCGTGTTTGTGGGCTGCTTTCCCAGCTGCCCAGCCTGACTTTCCACAGTCAGCAGGACGGACCTGGAGATGTCGGGACTGAAGACCCTGGAGCACGTGGCAGTGACAGTCTCCATCACTCACCCACGGCGAGGCAGCTTGGAACTGAAGCTGTTCTGCCCCAGTGGCATGATGTCCCTCATCGGCACCCCCCGCAGCATGGACTCGTACGTACACCTGCCCGACGCCTGAGCTCTCTAGAGCTTCAGCCAGGGCCTTTCCAAGGAAAAGAAACGGGAGAAGTGGATCCTGGCCCTGTCCTAAACTACTGTGGCACTGGCTCTCTCCGGCAGCTGGAAGCCTTTCGTCACATGCCTTCTTCCAGTGTGAGGCCCTGCACTTCACATACATGTTCTCTAATCCTTAGAAGAACCCCATAGATTAGGCTTTGTAACTTACTTTTACAAATGAGGAAACTGGCTGGGCATGGGGGCTCACACCTATAATTCCAGCACTTTAAGAGGCCAAGGCAGGAGAATCATTTGAAGCCAGGAGTTCAAGACCAGCATAAGCAACAAAGTGAGACCCTGTCTTTATAAAAAAAAAAAAAAAAAAAAAAAAGTAAAGCTTAGCTGAGTATGGTGATACGTGCCTGTAGTCCCAGCTACTCAGGAGACTGAAGTGGTAGGATCACTTGAGACCAGGAAGTCAAGTCTGCAGTGAATTGTGATCATGCCACTGCATTCCAGCTTGGGTAACAGAGCCTCTGTCTCCAAAAAAAAAAAAAAAAAAAAATGAGGAAACAAGTCATGGAGCCAGTAAGTGCCCAAGAGAATAAGAATAAATCTAGATCCGTGGGACTCCAAGCCTGTGCGCCCCATACTTGCTTTTTCCACCACACCATGTTGACACAAGTTCCTCCTTCCATGAGACCCCAGGGGCAAGGGGCACCTGAGAACCTCTTGTGACACCCTTCCTCGTTGTCTCCATGGCTACTACAGTAAGAAAGTGCTGCTGGGGAAAGGTCAGCTCCCTGACCCACGCCTTCCACCTGTTTCTGCTGTCTTCTTTCCCCAGGGATCCTAACGGCTTCAATGACTGGACCTTCTCCACTGTGCGATGCTGGGGGGAGAGAGCCCGGGGGACCTACAGGCTTGTTGTCAGGGATGTCGGTGAGCCTCCTGCCCTTGTGCCACGCCCTGCCTTTCCTGCTTGTAATCTGGTCCCTCTGCATCTCAGAGTCCCCACAGAAAGTTTCCCATGTACCATATATAGTGTTGCCATTGGACCAAGAGGGTTGATGCCAAGAAGTGTGCCCCATCCATAAAATGGGCATTGCTACCTGAAACTGTTTGTTTATACGACCTCTCGTATTCCTTGGAGGAGTGACCAATCCATTTTTCCTCAGGATAGCAACAAAAATTCCTTGTTGAAACCACATTTCAAGTCCTTTCACATATAACCATCCTTTGGCCAGCCCTGGTAGGCAGGTAAGGGCAGGACTCATTTTCACCGTTTTTTTTTTTCCTTTTAAACTGGCCCAGAGATTTGAGGTGATTTATGGAAGGTCATCACATCAATGAAGGCCACGATATCCTTGAATTTTTAATATCTTTAGTATCAGCATATAGACTAGAAATTGAACTCAACCCTCCCAACCTCCAGTCAAGTTCAGTATTCAGTAGACCAGTGCTTTTAAAAGCTTTCTTTAATTTGGTAGAAATACTTTTTCTTTCCAAGCAGAATCCCAGCTGAACCCCCAAAATATGGGAGAGAAAAGCAAGATTCTGCTTTGGAATACAGCCTTTCAACCCTTTCCATCCCTAAGGGTACCCAGTGAGGCCCTTCTGCAGAACCCGGGGTCAGTGGGACACAGTGAGGCAGCTCCTAGAGCAGACCATGTGGCCTGAGCCCCTTTGGGTGGCGGGGAGGGCAGGGCCTCTGCTGTTTGGCATGGCTGACAGAGGGGCGTGGCTCACGAGCTGCCCCTTGCTGCCCTAGGGGATGAGTCATTCCAGGTCGGCATCCTCCGGCAATGGCAGCTGACCCTATATGGCTCTGTGTGGAGTCCAGTAGACATCAGGGACAGACAAAGGTGGGTATAGCTGCATGTGTCAGCGGGAAGGCCACTCACGGGAAGGGCCGCCTAGGGAGCCCATCTCCCTCCGAACCCCAGCTGTGCTTCCCAGCTCCAGCCTCCAGCCGGTAGACGGAGCCACGGGCTGGGAACTCACAGTCTGGGCCTCGCCTTTTTGCTGTGGGGCTTCCCTGTCTTCAGCTGTAAGGTGGGAAGATGGGTGAGGGCAAATGGTATAGGAACCACAGTCAGTGGGGCATCCTCACTCCTTTTCTTCTCCGCAGGCTGTTAGAAAGTGCCATGAGTGGAAAATACCTGCGCGATGACTTTGTCCTGCCCTGCCCACCTGGGCTGAAAATTCCTGAGGAAGATGGTTACACCATCACCCCCAACACCCTCAAGGTACTAGGGCCAAGACTCAAGCTGCAGGTAGACAGGACTGTCCTGTGTGGGGATGGAGTTCATAGTGTGCTTCTCAGGGTGGCCTGGGGCTGAAGGACCAGGAAGACCTGGGTTCCAGCAGTGGTTTCATAGCATTGCTGCTACCCTGCTAGCCTAACTCTTACAGGATAGGCCTTGTCAGGGGAGGGGGTGAAAAGGACAGTCCCTAGAAGGAAAAAGACTTTCTGAGCTCATTGTCCTGGGCTGAGAAAGGCTGTAGGCCTCGGGAAACAGTGCCTCATGTAGGTGCTTGCCTCGGCCCAGACCCTGGTGCTGGTAGGCTGTTTCACTGTCTTCTGGACCGTTTACTACATGCTGGAAGTATACTTGAGCCAGAGGAATGTGGCTTCCAACCAAGCTTGTAGGAGTGGACCCTGCCACTGGCCCCATCGAAGCCGGAAAGCCAAGGAGGAAGGGACAGAGCTAGAATCAGTGCCACTTTGCAGCAGCAAGGATTCAGACGAAGTAGAAACAGAGAGCAGGGGCCCTCCCACCACTTCTGACCTCCTTGCCCCAGACCTGCTGGAGCAAGGGGACTGGAGCCTGTCCCAGAACAAGAGCGCCTTGGACTGCCCTCATCAGCACCTAGACCTATTGCACGGGAAGGAGGAGCAGATCTGCTGACCTCAGGCCCTGACGGTGTGGGACAGGCTCTTTCCCAAAATTAGGGAGCTCCGGAGAGACCTGATGCTTACATCTGGAATCTGAGGCCTAAACAGCATCCTGTGACTCCACTCAGAGCGGGAGGGCCTTCTTAAGATACAAATGGCAGAGGATTGGTACCAGAGAAGTCTGGTTGAGAGCCACAGGGTCTTCCTGCAGCCAAACAGGAGCTTTTGTGGAGAAGGTCTTGGGGAGGATTGGCGCCCCCTTTGGGTAGGCCTCCATCTTCAGCTCTCTTGGGCAAGCCTGTTGTCTAGGTCCCCCATGCATGGGGGCCCCCCCACCCACACGAGTTGAGAAGGTGCCTGCCATAGCCAGGAGCACATCTCCATGGAAACATGACCGGGGTCACTTGGGAGGAAGACTTTGGGGTAGAGGCTGGGAAGAGCCCCTGGACATGCCTGTTCTGAAAGTGGCCGCCTCCATTATCCATTCCCAAGATGCCTGATCAGAAGCCAACCTTGAATGAACCCCTGGCTCTTTCACCACCACCCCTCCCCCCCACCATGACTGGTCCGATGCTGCTGGCACAGCTGGGATACACACAGCTCCCCCGGGCCTGAGCTGCTTCACTAGGGAATCCCGCGGCAGGACTGCAGAGCAGGTGGCAGACGTGCGTGTCGGAGAAGACAGCCTTGGGAGCCACTGCCACTCCGGTCCTGCCACCACCCTGTCTTCCTCTGCAAGTGCTCAGGGAAATGGCCTTCCCTCCAGAGGCCAGCTATCTGCCTGACAGGCTGTGACTCTTCTCTCAATCTTGGCCTTCTCCCCTCTTCTGAGCTAGTTGGTTGATTGGAATTTTTTTTTAATGCTTAAGATTTGTTTTTCTCTTTTCACAGCAACATTTTCTTGAATTTTTTTCTGCACAGCTTTTCCAAAATAAAAACCTTCCAAACAATTCTGCCACTCGTGAGCTCTCTTTCCTCTGTCTCCCCAAAGCCACTGCAAGCTGCTGAGTGGCTCCTCTTCACTTCGGTCCCCAAGATACACTCTCCTGTTCCACAACCTGTTTCCTCTGAAAGAATCTGACCCTCCTGGAATCTTGGCAAGTGAAGGGTCCTTCAGAGGACAGCAGCCAGGAGCACACATAAGCCCGAGATGCCTGCCTGTCCCCTGCTCAGATCTGGAACCATAACACAAGTGACCAGGGAAAATCAAACTCTGCTAGCCAGGCCTGAGAAAAGGTTGATGTATTTTTTCTTTTTTCCTTTTTGAGTTCCAACCCCAAAAATATTCCAGGAAAAGATGGGGGAGGCTGGGCTGGTTCTTCTTCAATGGGCTTTTGCTGCCAAGGACAGTGGACTCGACCCACATCCAGGCTACCCCCAGACCGCTTCTCCCTGCTTTACTCAGGGGCAAGACAGTAGGGGTGGTGGGGGCAGCTGGGAGGGAGGGGCCAGGGCAGTGATGCTTTGGGACAAGAAGTTGAGCTGGGGGAAGGGGCAGTAGCTGCCCATGTGCAGTTACCATTGCTCAGTGACAGAGCCTCAAAGCTTGGCCAGGGCTGAAGGTACCACACGGGTGTGGGTGAGGCAGGCTAAGCGGGATGGCTGCAGCCGAGGAGCTGGCGGAGGGCAGGGCTCAGGGCTGGCCCTCTCCGATCTAACTGATGATCTGCCGAGGTCGTCCGTAGCCTGTCATGCCGGCCTGGGAGGCCCCTCTGTTGCTGCCCATCTGAAGGCCAATGACATGCTTTCCCTCCTGCAGCTGGCTCTCTGTGAATTCTCTCTTATGCTCCTGTGCTTTCCTAGAAGAGGAGGAACCAGGATAAAGACTTGCTAGAACTGTGTGTTTTCCACCCATTTTCTGATCCCTCTGTTACGTCCTAGCCCAATCTCATTGCCTTCCTGTTTCACTTTTTTCCCCCTAATCTAGCTTGCCTCAGGCTAGGGAGACTGAGCACAGGAGGGTGGAAAGGAAGGGAGGGGTCAAGGAGTATTAAGGCCCTGTTATTCCCCGACCGCAGACCCTCACTTCATCCCTTCCTGGCTCTCTGCTTCCCCTAATCCTTCCCAAAAACCCAGAGCATGAGCCGCCTTTCACCCCATGCAGAGAGAGACCCAAGCTCTCTGTGGGCCACATACTTCATAAACCAGTTGGGATCTCCACGGTAGTGCCCATCATTCTTGGTCACTGCCAAGCTGCCCAAAGCCATCAGGGTCCTCTGCACTGCTGCCATGTCTTTGCCTGTGAGAAGAAAGGGGAGAGGAGACGAACATCAGGAGTGTGTAAACAAGGTTCCAAGCCAGGGCCGGCCTCCGTCTCTCACAGAAAAATGGCCAAACCAGAGGCAAGAGTTGTCCCAAATCAAGGGAGGCCTCTCAGTGGGCCTTGTGAGCGAGGCATGTTATTCTCAGCATATCCCATCCCGGCTGTACACCGGCAGGCACTCCCCTGGCTGTGGCACGTTCTGGTCGTTCCCTCTCCCTGCCCAGCACACTGTCCCCCTGTCCTCCTCCTCCCCCAGCCCCTTCCTCCTGTCTACCTTCAAAGAGGTCAACAGTCTGGAACATGTCAGTCTTGGTGACCCCATAGTCCTCAGCTGCCTTCAGGAACTGGGCCACCTGTTCCATCTGCTTGAAGACCATGGAAGGCGGGTTCTCAGGCACCTTCACTGGCTTGGAGCCGTCAGGGTACAGGCTATTCACCAGCTTGCTCAGAATCTGCCAGGCATAGGGCATAGGATGCAGCTTAGCGCTCAGCCCAGGGCTTGGCCTGGGACTTAACAGGGTGATATACCCCAGCCCCCCATCCCAGGGTGCCACTCACCACACCATTCTTCAGCCAGACCTGGAAGCCCAGGCGCCCACGGTCTGGGCGGCCCACATCAGGACCACACTGCACTATAATCCACTCCACCAGCCGCTCCTCCAGCTCCTCATCGTATTTCTTCTCGATTTTGGACTGCACTTCGCGGCTCATGCCATAGGAAGGACCCTTGTTGGCCATGTCTGGGGAGAGCTAAAGCAGGCCAGGGTGGAGGAGGGAGGGGCAAAGGGGCAGAGGATCAGGGAGCAGCTCTGCTTTCACCTGTGCCAAGCAGCCTTCTAGCTCTGTGCAGGGTACCCAGCCATCCTGGACACTTGCCACAGCACTGCCCATCCAGGCCAAGCTCAGCCCCTAGTCCAGACACCTCTCTGAACTTGAACACCAGGAAACAGGATACTGGATCTTTGGAGGTCTAGAGCAGGGGTCAGTAAACTGTTTTTGTAAAGGACAAGACAGAACATATTGTAGGCTTTGTAGGCCATATGGTCTCTGCTGTTGCAATGTGAAAGCAGCCATAGACAATATGTTACAAATGAACATGGCTCTGTTCCAATAAAACTTTATTTACAAAAGCAGACAGCAGGCTAGATTTGGCCCATGAGCTGTAGTTTGACAACCCTTGTTCTAGAACATTCTTTGCCAAGACCAGTCACAGAGCTACTGGAGAGATCTTCCAGAAGCCACATTCCCCCCACAGCCAGCCAGTGCGTTTGTCCAGCTTCGGGTGTGGGGGTTTACTGCCTCCGCCTCAAGGAACCATTACTTCCCACTCTCACCCGGAAGCTGGCCCTGGCCTGGAAGTTGGAACTTCAGAACTCCAGCTCTTTGCCAGGTCAGCTCAGCTTCTGGTCTGCAGCTGAAGAGAATAAAACTTGCCACTCCAGGCAAGGGCTAGGAAGCCACCAAAGCCCAAGAGCTCTTGGCAAAGAAGCTGCATATCCTCAGAGGCACCAGATGAGACACCTGGTCTACCCATCGACTTCCCCCTCATGCCCTTAGGCTCTCGAAACTGGAGGAGCCTGAGCAACCAAGAAGTCAGAGTCCCCCAGGGATGTTCCAGAGCCAAGAGGGCCTGCCAGGGAATGAGAAGCCCAGCCCCATCCAGTAACTACTACCCCAAGGGCCTGGGCCTGGCACTGCTCAGGAGTCCCACTCATGAAGAGGGATGGCAGCAGGAGCAGGCCAGGCAGGTAGGTCCCTGGGCGGAGGGGGGTGGCTGGGAACAGGAACCTGACCTGGCCACTGATGTCACCCTAGGGTGCTGTGCCTTCTCTCCAGTGTTGGTCTGAAGAAACTTCCCAAAGAAGTATCAAAGAAAGCTGAACCATCCCTGGGCCTCAGAGAGGTCAGAGGTTAGGAGAGACGCACAGGTCTGAGGACCGAGGCAGGAGCATGCGCCCCTGGCTTCCTCACTGGTGAGACCCCTCCCCTCCCCATGGGCATCCCACCCTGTGGGAAGCAGAGCCAACACCATCACACCCCACCGGTCCCAGGCCAGGTGCCTAGCCTGATGCCCTGCCCTTCCCTTCCCAGGGTTGACAGCCTTTCTGTGCTCGAGTCCCTGTCTGGGAAGTGGGGGTTATGTTATCAACCTCAGAGGGCTGTGAAAATGGGATGGTGTCTGTGAACTCCCCCACATACTGCCCCTGCCCTTAGCAGAGCTCCTTGAAATGTCAGTTCTTTGCTGCCCAGAGCCGGGCTCCTGGTAATGACCAGGGAGAGAGCCTGCCCTTAACCAAGGAGTGAAAAACTGACCTCAAAATGTCAGTTCTCTGCTGCCTGCTCCAGCCTCCACCCCTTCTCACAATCATTCCCTGAGCGCACAACAACGTTCACGTGGACTCATTGAAATCCCCGCCTTTGGGCATCTCTCTCCTCCCGGCATCTGTTTCCTTATGTGTAAAGTGGGGGCGGGACCACCTCTGACAACCCAGTTCTCGAGCACTGGGGATGAGGTGGGCTCCTGGCCCAGCCATCCCTCTCCCTGCCAGTGATGCCGGAGACCCCAACGGCAAAGTGCTCTATTCTGCTGTTCAGCTACGAACAGCCAATCCCTCCCATCACCCTGTGTGTCCCACCCCCCGCTCCCCAACCGCCCAAGGACTCCTGCACAAAGAACTGTGGTCCAAACCCCCAAGTCATCTGGGACCAGGTGATTTCGGTAGCCCTGTATCCTGGCCTCCATCCTCCCCAGCCTCTGTCTCAGCCTTCGCACCACCATCCCAGACAGGCACCCACCTTCTGTCTCAGGCCCTGCTTCTACCACCACTCCACCGGCCCTCATGCCTGCCTTCCCCGCCTGCACCCTTGCTGGGCTCCTGAGGAACAGGATGGAAGGAGAATGTGTCCCCTACCCCCAGCTTCCAGTCTCAGGAGGGACAGAACAGACAGAACAGGTCAAAGCGGTGAGGCTGAGGGTAACAGGTACGTAACGCTGCAGCCCCCAGATCTAGAAGCAGGATTTGGATTTCAGGCAGAGGGAGGATGGAGCACACACCACCCCCACTCCGGGCCGGTACTACCATCCTTCCCCTTCTTCCTCCTGGGTCAGAGTCTAAAAGTGGACAGTCCCCAGAAATCCCTTAGAGTCCTCTGATGAAGCCTCCCCAGTTCCGCCTTCGAGCTTTTAGGGAGGGAGAGAGGAGGATCACTCTGGGGCGGCCCACGCAGGGGCATCTCAAGACACTCCCAGGACAGCATGGATGGGCTTGGATCCTCCTGTCCTGTGGTTCCTGCCAGGGCCCCTCCCCAGCTGCCCAGTGGGTGAAGGTGGGCAGTGGAGAAAGAACAAAGTCCAGGGGCAAACAGGCAGGTGGCACCCCCTACCAGCTGAAGCCTAGAAACACGAGCGGAACCAGGGGTCCCTGCAGGGCTGCTCTACCCCTTCTCACTTCCCAAATAGGAGTGAGCACATCCTAACCCCTGAGAGGAAAGGAGGGTGGCTCCTCTCTACCCCATGAACAAACAGGAGTGGCCTGACTACATAAACGCATGCCATCCTCACTGCTACCTTTGGAATAGTAAACTCGAAGGCGAACCACCCTTTGGGAAAAACCAAGGGCCCCAGGCCTGCCCCGCCCATCACTCCAAAGCTCGTCCTTGGCAGTACCCGTCCCCACCCATCTGCTACAGTGGAGGGGACTCCCGCTCTCAGACAGTGGAAGGGGCTGTGTGTCGGCAGGACAGGCCGCCCCGAAATGTGGGATACGAGAGTTCTGTGGCCCTTCGCGTTGTCGCAGGGCTATCCCTGTTGCTCAGGCGTTAGGAACCCGCCAGTGGGACACCGCGCTCCAACACAGGTGCATTCGCACCTCAGGTGCATTCGCTCCTCACCTCTTTGGAGGTCCTCCTAGAGGGCGGCAGACAGCAGAGCCCTGGCCTAACCACCCGGCGCCTGCAGCCTTGCGCACACCCTGTGGATGCAGCTGGCTGAGATGGGGAGCCTCCCTCTGACCCCGGTGGCTACCACCATCAACTCCTCTGCCCCAGCCTAGTCATCCTGGGCATTTCAATGAGCCCGGGCTGCCCGGTCTGAGAGAGATCCGGGACGCTAGCAATCCAGCCCACCCTGCCTGGAGCTTGGGCCTCCATGCCAACTGAGCGGGTGAGTTTCCGCAGCCAGGGAGCTGGCGCCTGCGACCTCAGGAGAGCCTGCCTGAAATGCACCCACTGCTCCTGTCCAGCTCCAGCCCGACTTCCCTCCAAGCCCCCAGCCAATGCACTCACAGGGCTTCCTCGGGGCTCGCAGGAAGGAATGAAGACCTGTGCCTGGGCTTGGACAGATAGGACGGGGCGCTGGCTGGGTGAGGGGTTTAAAGGGCTGCCGCCGTGGTGATGTCAGCCTCCGCCGCTGGCTCGCCCCTTGGCCCCCTCCCTGCTGGAGGAAGCCAGCTCCGCTCCCCACCCCCGGCTCCCCCAGTGACTCCACACAGGCTCCATATTTGGGGAAAGACACCAAGTTGGAGCAGTCTGCCGGGGCTGCCGAGACATTCTCTGCGTGCTTTGGAGATGGAGCGGGCCGGGGGCGGGGCGCGCTGCCGGCGGGGAGCCGGCCCGGGAAAAGCCTTTTATGGACAGGACCCTGCCCGGACTTAAGGCTGCTCCTACTTCACTGCTTCCTGCCCCCGAGTTTGAGAGGAGGGGGAGTTCAACAGAGTCTGGCTGGAGAACGGGGCAAGGGGCTAGGGAGCCGGGGATCCCAGGGGTGTGTGAGGACAAACCAGACACCCTCTCCTGGGGCTTTTAGCTGTGATGGGACATGGGATCCAACCTTTCCTGAGGACCTACTCCACACCAGGCCTTTGCAGTGCTCTCATTGAATACTCACAACTACACTGTGAGGGTGTAATTACATCCCCATTTTACAGATGAGGAAACAGGCTCCAAGAGCGGCTTCCCCAAGGCCACATGGTGAATGGTGAGTGGCAGGTCCTGTGTACCTCTGCTGACACCCGTGGGTGCTGGAGAGGTGGTCAGACCCACCCTTTCAATTGTACCAGCCTGCTCGGGTTGAGGAGAGCTTTGAGTTCAGGTAGGTCTTGAGTTACATGCTTTAGTTGGGGGCTGGGGGTTTGGCAGAAGTGGAGGCCAACCCCAGCCCCCATCTAGTGGGCAGTGTCAGTAAGAGGGTCTCTCAGGCTTGGCAGAGCCCCAGGCGCTAACACGAGGTAGGAAGCTCAGGAGGTTGGTTATCATCCCTTCCTCCCTTTAGGAACAGTCCCTACCTCCCTGGAAAACAGACCAGCCTCTGTCACCCTATGGAGACAACCCATTCACATCTTGCTTGTACCTGGCCTCAGAGATCTTGGGGAGAGATAGGGGGTTTAAAAAGGTGAGACTAGTCAGGTGTGGTGGGGAATGCCTGTAATCCAAGCTACTCAGGAGGCTGAGGCAGGAGAATTGCTTGAACCTGGGAAGTAGAGGTTGCAGTAAGCCGAGATCACACCACTTCTCTCCAGCCTGGACGACAGAGCAAGACTCATCTCCAAAAAAAAAATGATGAGACTACCAGTGGGGTCCCTGGGCGGCCTGCTGTGGCACTCCCATGCAAGGGCACCTGGTAGCCTGGTAAAGAGGACCTAACACTCTCTACTACACACACACTATACCACACCCCCACACCACCCCAAGCCAAGCAAGGCTGTAGGAGGCAGCTGCCAGGCCTGGCAGAGGAGGAGCCCGCCTCCGCAGTTCTGCCCACTGTGGCCAGCCGCTCCAAAGCCCGGGAGAGGCACAGCCATAGCACCTCCCAGTGGCACCTTCGGGAAAGAGTAGGAAGAGGAGCTGGGCCCAGCAAGAAGAAAGCCCACTCCATCCCTGACCCTGCAGACCTCTGGTTGTGTCCTGAATTCACCAGATTCCTTGGCCCCCCCACATCATGTCCTCCTTAGCCAACTGAAGCCTAAATGAATCTTTCAGGGAATTTCAAAACTCCCTCTTTTTGGAGCCTGCCCACCTTCCCTCACCCTCCTGCCTCAGCCCGCATGCTCAGCCAATTATAAATGCCCCATCAGGAAGCACTGCCTGGGATTGTGGCCTGGTGAGCTGGGGGGGCGCTCAGGTCAGAGGTGAATCGAGCCTCGGTCTGGTGGGTGGGGCCAGGTGGGCAGAGACTGCTGTTGCTGGGCAGTTAAGGATCCATGTCTACGGTGGGATGGCATGGGAAAGACTTTTCCAGTAACCGGCCTCTGCCCAGCACAGTGCCCCTGGTAAATGTTACTGAATGAGTGCTGTGGCTGGAGGGACGGGAAAAGTGGGAGAATCAATGATCTGCAATTCCCAGTGGGGCCAGGGTTTGCAGACAGGGGAAATGGAGGGCCCCGCCTCTCCCCTCATCCCCAACAACTCCACCCAGAGGGAGTGCAAACAAGGGACCCAAGAACTGAGTCTGGTTGTTTATTGAATGCAAACTCATTCATAGAAAACAGAAATACAACCACAGCATGGAGACATAAAACGGAGTTCTGAGAAAAGATCCAGGCCCACTCCTCACCCAGCCCAAGCAGAGCTATAAAAACAAGTTTGGGAGAGTAAAACATGTTCCCATCCCCAAGGCGGAGGCCCCACCTGAGCTCCCCCCATCCTTGGCATCTGGAATGGACCAGCTGGGACCAAGGGCTTCCAAGGACCAGGGTGGCCAGGGTGGCCAGAGCTGGGGCGACTCAGTGTAAACTCCAAGGTTTCATAGGTATGTGTGTGCATGACTAACACAGAACTTGGCTGAAGACTGGACGGAAACTCGGAAGTCAGCCCTGGGTCCTAGAGCAAGGCTAGGACTGGGCACGCAGAGGAAAACAGCACATCCCTTCCCGAAGCCCCTTTCTAAGGTAGGCACTGGGGCGCCCACGGCTGTGGAGGAGGCAGGATGGGCTGAACTCTGTGTCATCCCCCCTTTGCCCCTGGACATTCTTGGGCAGTGTCAATGGCACTGAAAGGCCCCCAGCTGGGGCTTGGCAGAACTAAGGGCCTGGAAAGAAGAAAGGGAAGGGGTGAGTTGCTTCTCCCTCCAGTCCTGGTGCTGGCATCCGTCTGGGGCTGATGGGACAAAGAGGTGACCTCTGAATTCAGCCTCTTGGATCAGAAGGCGGTTCTCAAATTGGGCCGACCGCATTACTGAAGAGCCAGCCTGAGCACAGGTCAGAGAAAAGAGGGTACTCACTGCCCCGGGCCCCTTTGCAGGCCTTAGCACCAAAAGTCTGGCACCAGCTGGCCAACACCCAAAATCTCATACCCCATCCATCCTGGCTGACTGGAATGGGCAGTGATGGCAGCCAGGGACAGCCCCTAAGAGAACTGGGGCCCTGATACAGGACAGAGATTCAGGCCCCAGACTAGGCCCTGCAACAGGAGTCTGGGAGGAAAAAGGGGCCTTAGGTCCCAGGCTGGGGCGTTGTGGGGAGGAGGACGGGCAAAATGCAAGGCATGAAATGGGCAGGGTGTCCCTTCCATCCTTCTTCTTGCAGAGGGACAAATGGAGAGACAAAAGACGGGGGCCCGTGGAAGGCCCCAACACTGAGAAGAAAGCAGCAATTTGGCCAATGTCTCAGGTTCCGGGGGAGCAGGCCTCCTCCTTGGCAGAAAGCAGCTGCAAGGCTCCGTGCTACCCCATGATGGTCGCAGGCCAAGCCTAGGCAAGACCTGGCTATCCTGCTGCCATCCAGTGCTGGGCAGCAGTGCTGGGACTCATTCTCACAGCACAACAGAGTGCCCAGTCTGTGCCACACAGGAGCTCAGGGCCCCTTGAGGTGAAGCGAAGGGCCCAGCTCCTGCTAGAAGACGTAGATCTTGTCCCGCCGCACGGTGTCCAGGTCATCATCCAGCGTCAGCAACACCTGAGGGGGTGAACGCCAGATCAGCTGCAGAGGAGGAGGCAGCTGCCACCTCCACACCACCCGCCCGGCCTGGCTGGGAGACCCGCCTACCAGGAAGGATCCAAACATGGCGATGGAGGAGAGGAAGTGCCAGATGTCGTGGTCGTCGAAGAAGTCGAGGAGGATGCAGTCCCGGTTGTGCTCCCGCGACTCCGCAGGGGTTTTCTTGGGGAGCAACAAGAAAAAACTGCCATGACCCTGCTCTGGCAGGGCCAGGCCAGACCCATATGCCATCTTGCTCCTGGGCACCCTCTCTCCAGCCCTTGTCTCCAGCCCTGTCCCTCCTCCTTGTCCCCACCCTCTCCTGATCTAAGAAATGGCCTTTGGCCACCGGGCGCTGTGGCTCACGCCTGTGATCCCAGCTCTTAGGGAGGCATAGGCAGGAGGATAGCTTGAGCCCAGGAGTTTGAGACCTGCCTGGGCAATAGAGCAAGACCCCACAAAAAGGAAAAAAGGAAAAAAACAAAAAGACAAAAAAAAAAAAAAAAAAAAAAAAAAGCGTAACTCCCCTCAATAAATGGCCTTTGGTTACAAACTTCTCCCTGAGTTCGCTGGCTTCTCTTCCCTTTTCCCTCACTCTTACCCTCCTTCCTTCTGATTCTCTTCCCTTGACCTAAAAGCACAGGGTTGCGACAGCCTTGAAGGCCTTCTCACTCCCTTCCCGGCCTTGGACTCCGCCCCTGCTCTAGTCTGCAGGCTCATTGCTTTTCCAAAGCACTGTCAGGTCACAACCCTGCTCTGGGACAGTAGCCATAACTTGTAGCCCTCAAAGTCCTCCCTGCTCTACCCATAAGCTCTATCCCATAAACTCGTCCAGGCTCCGTCTACAAGCTGAGGCCACACACATAACCAAGACCTGCCCTGCCCTCAGGGAGCTCACAGTCAGCTGGCTCCCAAATGAGTGCATTCACTGACCTCCAAATCTGCCCCTGTATCATTACTAAGGTCAGAGCAAGTCTGGGCCCTGGGGCTCTTCCCCATCACCCAAGGCTTTTATAGCCCAGGAAGCTTTCCTGGACTCCTAACTCAGAGGGACCTCTGTCCTCTCCTCCTGCCTCGGCCTGCCTGTGCCCCTGTGCCCTTCCTTTCCTGCATCACACTGTAAACAGCACTAACAGTCCTGGCCCTCTTCAGCTAGCTTGTCTCTCAGAGACCCTGTCAGACTTAGTTTCCCTGAATTATAGCCTGACACGTGGTAGGTGCCCTATGAGGCAGAGAAGAGAGCCTAGCCTCTCAGGCTTCAAGCGTCAACTGCGCCACTCCCTGGCTATGTGCCCTGGGAAAGTCACTTGGCCTCTCTGAGCCTCGGCTGGCTTATAAGTAAAATGGAGCTGTCTCCAGGCTGGAATCCTAGGAGGATTAACTGGGAAAGCAGCTATCAAAGTGCTGGCTGGCTGGGCGCGGTGGCTCACGCCTGTAATCCCAGCACTTTGGGAGGCCGAGGCGAGTGGATCACGAGGTCAAGAGATCGAGACCATCCTGGTCAGCATG